ATGTAAAGTTGCTTATTCACACTCATCCTCACCCTCACCCCCACATTTATCCCTAGAATTCAGAATTTCAGAAAATTCTGAACAAGTAAAGGTCAACTTTACATACATCTAAAGTTCATAATTCTAGTAATGCTTGACTAGAGCAACTAGTAATAACTAATGGATTGTCGTTGAAAACCGATTTTATAAATTGATTAATAAGCATAATAACACGTTTTTGTGTTTGTAGATCACTTATAACATCAAGTCCATCGAGAAGAATCAAAGTATGACCATTCACAATATAATCACCAATAAATGATGACACTGTTCCATTGTCATCACAAGCAGCTAATTGACAAAGACAATCGAATAAAGATGCTGTCGGATTTAATTCGAGAAATTTGACAACATCCGCTGTGTTAATTAGTATAAGAAGACGTATTTTCATATCAGAACAAGAGCTGCTAAGAGACGAATGGAAATTCTTGGCAGCAGTCCATAGAAATCAACGGAGCAATGTTGTCTTACCACTACCAGGATCTCCTATTAAAAAAATATACTTTTGAGTATGTACTAGGTCATATGATTCAACTATTTCATTGTTGGATGATTTCAACGATGGAAATGTTACTTGATCACAAAATTAAATAAATATATGAGGATTTTGATCGAATCATTCTTTTTCTGACAGAGTGAATAGAAATTTTGTATTCAATAGTCGACAAGATAGTAAATGATTGATGTTATACAGTTCATTCATACTCCAGTGCGAATTAAGAGAAAGACTCTTTTGAATATATTGATTTACACATTTGTGATGACGCTCATTGAGTGTAACAACCGACAAATCGAACAAGAATTGCTTTTCACTGTCGCTGTTCGTCATTAATCTATCTTTAAAAGTTGTATCTTCATTCACTTGTTTATGTGTCATATTGATTATTCTAGTCTCTTCTACAACAGTAGCCAGAGCCCATGCCCGTCCTTAAAAATCACGACCTATTTAGTTTTCTGAAGATTCAAAAGAATGTAACTTACTTTGATCGCGTACTGTGATTTTGTCGAGAAAAATTACAGACACTTTACGATTGCTAGAAATGTTCAAACGGTTCAAATCGACTTTGACGATGCGGAAAGCAACAAAAGGTACTATGAGTACTTCATTTTCATCTTGAACAGCACTTAACTCACTGATAGCAAGACCAGCATGACGCTGGATTATTCTGTAGACACATAAGCCTGGTCGAAGAATGGGATTGTCGAATTGAAGATAGAGAAAAGCCGGGTCAATACGTTTTGATGTTGAAAGAAACGAACGAGTGAGAATTCGAGCATCAGGAACATATTGAGCAAGTTCGGTATTACTCAGATTCGTACCACGATTAGTCGTACCAGTATGACGAAAATATTCAATTGATGGATGACTCATGATAACAGCAGCGAACAAATAGTAACTGAATCCAGTTGGAGGCTCATCATCTCGATACTTTTTTCATATATTACTTTCAAAGCGAAAATCACAAGGGGGAAAT